TTTTTTTTATTTTCAACTATTTGCATTCAGTAAAAACTCACTGGTGGTACAGCTGTGCACAGACAGTCATAAAGACTGACATTGCTGATCACTGATCTCTTCCTTGGTAGAGAGAGCACTCAAAGCTACATGGTGTACATTATTGAGATAGTCTCATCTGTTTAACACTTTGAACATTGCGGGAATAGATGCTGGAGTGAGGCACGGAGATTACAGCTTGTGTGTGAAAACCTGCAGTAGAGTTTAATTATTTTCATGCTGTGGGAGGAATGGGGCTAATGAGAAGTTGACGACATTTCAAGAATGGATGCCTCACATTATCATTATCTCTGTCTTCATTTCCTTAGTTTGACCTTTTTTTCTTATGCTTTTTGTCCCTTTTTTCTTAGGATTCTAGCTTTGTCAGGATCCATAAAGCAATCAAAGTCTTAAATTTCACAATGAAAACGGCAGACCTGCAGCTTTCAGATGTCTTTCAAAAAGCCCTTCACCATCTGCCTTTAGAATACAACTCAGCTTTGTACAGCCGGATATTTGATGACTTTGGGACCCACTACTTCACTTCAGGCTCCCTCGGGGGCAAGTATGACCTTCTCTACCAATTTAGCAGCCAGGAGCTTAAGAACTCAGGTATGTGGGCTTTTCTTTGTTTTGCTTGACAATAACATGGGATACATCTTTTCTCCTAACTCCTTCCCTCTAATGACTCTGCTTTGATTTTATTTAGATCTTTTTTGTTGTTGCCAAAATTGAGATGAAGAATAATCAAAAGCATATTATGAGTTATTTTCTGGTTACCATTATTTCCCAATGAAATAAACAAAATAAAATAAAAATATTAAATAAGGACCAAAAGAAGAAGAAAAAAGTATGTTTAGCCTCTGTGGCCCAATGTCAGACATGATCACTTAAGGGAGATGCTTGTCAGTAACTCAAGAACACAAAAGAAGATCTTCAAACTTTTACATAATTTACTTATAACATTTGATAACAAATAACATATCACAAAATTTACAGCAAATTCAATAGCAATTATTCTCTTTTAATGATTTTAGGTAATGACCTGATGGTGTAAGACAAAGGGACAGAGAAACAAAGGTTGAGATGAGAGAGGAAGCTAAAAATAAACCCTCACACATATTCATATACACTAGATATACACACAGACATTTATATATATATGTATATATATATAAATATATATTAAATATATATAAATATATACAAATATATACATATATATATATAGTATTTACAGCATACAAATGCACATGGCTATAACCCATATATCCAGTACCACTGTGTGTTCAATATTCTAATGCTATGGATATTTTTATGTTCAGAAAACTTTTGAGCTACAGTAATACTGCCGTGCAATCTTAATTATGAGGAAAATGAAGCATACTGGGACAGAACAAATGCTACTAGAATGGAATTCTCCATGGAATGGGCTTCCCTGCATGTCCCTCTCTGAATGAACCTTCTCTTTTTCTCACCTTCTTTATCTAGGAATAAGATTAAAGCTAGATTGAGATTTAAGGTATTGTTAGACTTTATTTAATAGCAATTATACCTCTTTTCATTCCTTTTTGAAAATAGCTTGGGTGCTCCATGGTACTTCTCCCTCGAGAATACAATTAAACCGAACTGTGTTTTGTTTTCACCCCTTTACACTCTCTTTCCTCTGTTGTTCGGTGCCCCATCAGTATGCTAAAAACTTGAATAAAAGTTGATGTTACTTCAGCACACAAGGTGAAAGAATTTCACAAACACGGTGTAAACTGTAAATAATGGAGATATTCTAAACAAGAGGGTAATTTTAAAGTCCCTTTGTGAGGAAGTCATCTTCTGCTCTGAATTTGAGGAGAAAAAATAATCACCTCAGTATTTCTCAGCATAATGTTTTTTTAAAATTATTTCTAAGCCTTTACTGTATGTTAATAAGACAAATCTTTGAGCATAGTGTTTTGACTGGTGCTGCTGGCCTGCTCATTCGAAAGAGACCGAAAGGCTACAGAAACACTCATTCCTTTGCCAAAGCATAGAGACAGTCAGGTGTGACAGATCAGGTACCACAGCACCAGGGAGACTCCCCCAGTTAATATGTGCAGAGGCCATGCAGTGTACCACTCTTAGGGACCAAAGAGCATGTGTAAAAAGTCACTGCTTCTTTTATCACTGTCTTGTCAACACCATGGAACTGAATCATCCTTCATTTCTTTAAGGGAGCATGCGTGGTCCTCAAGTATATGAAATTAACTTTGCCCTCGGGTAAATCATTGTCTTATAATTAGTCATATAACATTTAATTCTAATTTATAACCTTTAAAAAATCAAATGAACAAGAAAAAAGAACTGTAAACTGTAGATTCACGAAAGTGCTACCGTTGCTTCATATTTTGACTTACAAAAACAATGTTACCAGATACACATATTTATTCCTCGAGACTGAATGAAATAGCATCTTCTGTGTTAGAGTTGGAAATGCAAACACAAGGCCTTCATGCTATTTTTTTCCACTCCTAACACATAACATGTACCTTCAAATGTGTCAGACTTAAAACATAAAAAGTAAAAGAAAATTGAAAGCTGACCTAATTCACATCTACTTCCATCTCCTCTGGAAAATTTGTGCCTTCGTGCCTTCGCTTTGATATCAGACCCCACCCGATGTACACGGAAAGCTCTCACAATACTTGTCTCTGTGCATTGTAATCTGTAACCATAAGTGCCAGAATTCGATAAAGCCTTTGCTCTAAAGCGGTTAAGAGCTGGCATTACAGCCGATCTCCCGTGCACAGTCAGATGTCTTGGAATTCTGGGAAGAAAATAGGAAGCATCAATTCCCTTCACATTATCCCAGATAAGTAGTACCACCTCCACTCTCAGGTATTCTAGGTCCATCTCCCTGTGCCATCCTAGCCTCACAGAGAGGCTCTCAGGTCAGTGAGCATGATTGTAGGCATTGTGATGGAACAGATTCGGATATTCGCTTGTCAAAAACTTTAACAACTGATGCTAAGACATTGGCAAAGGACAGGGATTGGTAAAGGTCTTCTAATGGAATGGTTTCAGCCTCCAAACATCAAGGTTTTTACATGACAGTAAAGAGCCACCCAATGAAAGCAGTACTGGGGATCTGGGAAGATGTTAATTCCAACTCCCAACCTGAAGAGACAGAAATTATGTAGTACTGTCTTCTTTGAGACAGCAGGAAAATGGCACCAAATATAGATTTGAATTCAGATAAGGAGACAAAACAGCCAACAAAAGAGTCTGAAGAATTCATCAGTCAAGACTTGAGAATTTCTATTATAATAAAAAGGTTTGAGGAGGAGGAGGAGGAGGAGGAGGAGGAGGCATGGAATGAGTAACCGGGCCATGGGAAGGAAGCCCAAATAAATATGAAAATGAACATTGAGGGAAGGATGGGTGGCACAGATTCATTCTTGAGACCGTGCACAAGTGGCTCACACCTCACCAAGACAGCTCCGAGTCCAAAACGTGGGTCACACCATGAGACGCAGACTTAATGCGCAGGGCTACCCAGAAGCAGTGCACAGCAGAAAAAACTAATCCTTAGGGTCCCTTGTGTACTGTGGCAACAAGGGCAGGTTGGGAGAGACAACAGGCTTGAGGGATGGGCTTCAGTGGCCTCACCGGTGCTTCCCGGGACCAGTATCGAGGGTGAAGATGATGGGAACTCACAGAACCTCTTCTGTTTGGGATTTCCTCAGGACCCGTGTGAGGCTGAATCTCCAGGCAAAACTGTCCATTAGAGCTGAGCAGGTTAGAAGCTGATGACAGTATCCAGCCACATGATAGTGGCCAGAGCCACGTGGCCGTCTTCCTTGAATTCTCAATGGTGCGTTCTCAGGGGCTTTTGCCTGTATTTCACTTTCTAGGTCTAACAGAGGAAGAAACCCAGAACTGTGTCCAGTATGAAACAAAGAAACGCTTTCTTCTCTTTTTTACAAGCACCACAAGAGAACAGCGGTGCACAACGAATAAGCTGTCTGAAAAATACGAAGGTAACAGTGCTCTCTCCACAGTTTGTCCTGTGTGTCCCGAGGCTGCGCATCATTTACCATATTGCACACGACTACTATGTCTTCATTGATATTATCTGTCTGCCTCAAAACACTACGTGCTGTGAGGGAAGGTGAAAATAAAATATCATTAGCACTACTTAAAAAGTAGAAACTGGGTGGGGGTGGCTCACGCCTGTAGTCCCAGCACTTGGAAGGCAGAGGCAGGCAAGGATCTCTGTGAGTTCAAGACCAGCCTGGTCTATCGAGCAAGTTTCAGGGTGCCCAGAACTACACAGAGAAAAATCCTGTCTTGAAAAAAAAAAGTACAAATGACTGAGGTGTTCTTTTCCTTATTCTTAGTCTGTTCAATTCAATGAACAGTATATTGAATTTTCCCATAGGTAGAACTCCTCACCAGACTCTTTATCAGGCATTGGAAAGTAAACATGAATATAAACCAGACTTCCCCTCTAAGAAACTTAGAAAGCAAGGACATGTAGGTAGCCAACCATTAAAAACACAGACTTGCAATCAAAATGCTGGAATCCATGCCACCTGTCACCAAAAGGCACATGTGCAGAAGCAGGAATTGAATCTTAAAGTTTTCCTTTATTGAGACCTGAGATCTAAGGAGGCAAAAGACAGTGTGTTTTTAGAAACTGTCTTATGTTTCTGACCAGCGAAGTTTATAAGGATGAAGGAAATGGTTATGGCAACTAAAAAGCTGCCGATCATACCAGAGTTCAGTCCCATCCCTCTGGTCAGATGGTCGTCCACATTTCTGAGACTTGAGGTGGACGCCTGCTGTTATCATTCCTTGCACTACTCCCTTATTCTCTGAATGTCTGGACTCAGGCACTTCTTGGAACACTGAGTTTAATTAGAGTTTGCCTGATTCAGGCATGGATTCCAGCAGTGGTGTCTGGACTGAAAAGTAGGATGGGGAGCTGAACTCAGAACACACCAATCGTTAACGATGTGGTATTAAAAACAAGTGTGTGCTGATTCCTTTTCATAATATTCCATCTTACAGAAGCAACTTTAGAACACAGAATATGAAAGTGCCCCTTGGGACCTTGTCCCTCACCGACGCCCATTATTTCATATTTATAAGATCCATAATGTACAACGGATGGCATCCTGACACTATGCAAACTGACTGATTGTCCCCAAAGCTCCTGACCACTGAGGCAATCCTCAGGCATAAATGTGCATGTGGGAGCACACACAAGCACTTAGACCTTAGTGTGAACATTTTTTAAACACCTCTATGTCTGAAACAAATATCATAAACACAATACAAAGAGGAGCCGAGATTAGAAGGCATTCAGTTAGTGTCAGGTAATCATGTGTGAAAACCATTTTTCCAAAACCTCTTGGCTTTAGTTCTTTTTGGAAAGACTGATACAGAAGACTCTGTTCTTACTTTGACTTTGAGAAAGGGTCTCACCATGGACAGCCTGGGCTGTTTCCTAACTCATTATCCTCCTGATTCAACTTCCTAAGTGGGAGGATTACAGATTAGTGTTACCATGCACAGTGTATACTTATTTTGATTCTGGAATTTGTACTCTTATGTCTGGATAATTTTTTCTGAAGTCATTATTGATTTATCATCAATGGTTGGATCTTGATTGTCTCTCATTACCAAGGTGAGATGGTTTGATCCGATTCCATGTTGGGATATCTAAATTACATTCATGACATTATAAAACAAATTAAATCACCTGTTCATATAGTCAAGCTATAGTTTTATTTTGTTTTAATTTGGATTTTTTTTAGAATCTCATACATGAATCTTTTATTTACAATATTTCTGCCCCTTCTTATAACTCCTCCAACTCATCTCATGTCCCTCCTCCACACTCTCAAATTTATGACCTCTCTTCTTCTATAACTGTTATTACATATTTATACACATACATGTTTATTTATATGTGTGTGCGTGCATGCATGTGCGTGTGCATGTGTGTGTGTGTGTACATAAAACCTACTGAGTCCATATAGTGTTGCTGATATAGACATGTCTTTAGCGCTAACTACTTGGGATTGTATAACATAGGAGGACATTCATCCCTAAAGGAAAGTCTCTCTTCTCAGTAGCCACTGATTGCCTGTAGTTCTTCATCTAGAGGTGGAGCCTGGTGAAATCTCCCCTTCTACCTGGCATGTTGACAAGTGTTGTCATTATAAGGTCTTGTTTCATCAACCATACTGAGATTTTATGGGTTCAACTTCCCCGAGATGTCGAGGAGGAGTTTTATAGCAGCAAGAATTCTGGTTCTCTAGATTTGACGATCTTTCTGGCCCCTCTTCCCCAATATTCCCTCAGCCCTCGTGTAGGATTACATTAGACGTACTAGTTGGGACTGAGCACCCCGTGACCACTTAGTCTCTTCTTTTTGGCCAATTGTAGATCTATATAATAGCCCCTGTCTGCTGCAAAAGGAAGCTTCTTTCTTGAGGGATGAGAGTCAAGTTTCTCTGTGGATACAGGGATAACTATTTAGAGGGGGCTTTGTTGGCTATAAACTGTGAAGTTTTGTTGTCATTGTGGTAGGACTTAGGCAGGCTTTGTGGCTGCTGCATTTTTAAAGACTCTTACATATTAGTTTCTTTGTTTCAAAGACAAAAGTCTGAGAGTTAGTCAGAATCCTACATTCTAGTAAGTGTTGTCCAAGATAACAGAGACACCAGTGACCTTCGACAGTGAGCCATATTGTTGTATGCGGAAGAACCTAGAGGAGAGAAAGCCAAAATTCTTTTTATAGCAACCTTACTTGGGGTTGGAGATACCAAGGGCATTTGCTCTCTGTACAGCCGGGGGAGAAAGCAAATGGCTGCTTTCTCTTTTCCAGAAAGGCATAAGGGCTGTTAGATCAATTTTTCAGAATATTTTCCCAGGAGGCTGTCACAGGAATGAAGCCTGTGCGCTCCTACTCAACAGTCATAGCTCTGAAATAAATCAAACTGAACTGACTGAACAGAAAGGTACCCTTAAGAGGCCGCAGAGGTCTTAACCCAAAGAAGGGGACAAAATAGGCCTGAAAGCATTTTTAAACCAGAGGCAAGGGTGTCACGATCTCATCTGGACTTGAGGCTAAGGCCTTGCATCTTTCTCTGCAAAGCTAAAGTTTTCCAATCATCTAAAAAACTCACATTTTCTCATATGTCTTGGAACTATAAGAAACTTCTACTTTATATGAAATTTTTCTTCTCCTACTTTGCCTGACTTATTGATTGCTATTTATTTTGCTCCAAACACACAGGAGTACAATCACAGAAACTCCCACATCTGAAATTTGCAATCTCATGAGGAATACAGATGAGAAACAAATAGAAGTATTTTTATTGTAATAATTAATAGACAATATTAAATATTGTATTTGACTATATCAGTGGTATATATGTGTGTTAAGCATAAACAAAATGAGGATAATTAACTGGCAACTACATTTATACCACAGTCCACCCCCCCAAAAAAAAGAAAGAGAAAAAACAGTATGGAAAGCAGACAAGTAATTTCATAATATAAACTTAAAAACGGGATACTGTGCTGGATAGTTTTATGTCAACTTGACACAAGCTAGGGTCATTTTAGAAGAGAGAACCTCATCTGAGTCTCTCACCAGGCTGGCCTGTGGGCAAGCCTGGGGATTATTTTCCTCAATTGGGTCTACTGAACAACTTCCCACCAATGCTCAGAAACCGACTCTCATGAACTTAGTGTTCCGTGCACAAAAGGAAGATGTGAAAGTAGGAGATCAATGCATTGAGAAGAAGAGAACCCGTGGTTCAGAGAAGGGCATGAAAGAGAGGAATGGGGTGTGTGTGAAATGACTAAAATTTATTATGTAGAGAACAGTCAACCATTTTTTCTCAATTGAAGAAAAAGTAGGAAAATTCACACATTCACAGATAAGGTTTTCTATTTCCTAAACAGAACCTAGCCTATCCCTCAAATTCCCATTCCTTCTAAATAGTAGAAAAATATAAAATTACCAGTGTAAAGTAAATCTATTATTCTGGCTTTTAATTTTCAGTCAGATATCGGACCCTGACTCATCTCCTTTGTTAACCCCCAGGGCTAATCTCAGTGTGTACTTGTTTGTGCACACGCACACTTGTTGAGGGAGCATCAGGGGTACTTAGCATCAGAGAACAAATTGGATCTTTGTTATCCTGTTGTCTTTCCATATCCTGGTTTCCTCTCACGTGCCGTTTCCCTGCTCTGGTCCCTGTTGCCATGCATAGGTACCCAGTCTCGTGTTGATGATCTTTCCTAGGCCTGTGAAGAGCCTCGGAACAGTCCTCCTCCCAAGGAACATCAGGACAGTCTATGTCCATGCAGATTCTCACTCAAGACTTTCTCGCCTTCCTCTAGGTTTAAGGAAGTCTTGACTATGTTATGCACATAACAGAGAATTATTTATGTTTTTTAAATCAGCACTAACTTGTGTGCCATGTTAGATAAAAATATTCATTCACATACTAGTACTAGAGACAAATTAGATACAAATTTGTTTCTGTCAGATTCCTCTTATCCCTGCAATCCCTCCTAAACTCAACTCCAAGTAATAGAACCCTCATTCTCCACTGAGGAATTTATCAAATCTAAATTCTCATTCATCCTATTGCTCAAAACCTTTTTCTCCTTTTGAAAAGGAAAATGGCCCAAGGCATTGTGTATTTTTATCATCCTATAATTAGTATTTAAATTTCCTCTTCTGAGTCACAGGAGGCTTGGGTTTTGATATTTAAATTCAAATATAAGAGCTGGACAATTACTTTTTTCTCTCAGGAGACTGGTCCTACACAGTGAAAATTGTGGCCATCCAATCTATGACTCCCACCAGATTTACAAAGGTGGATTTGCAAGTTCAAAAGACAAAGCTTGCCTCTTTTTCCTCTGTTCTCTGACCCAGGGCTGTTTGTATGCAAAGCCCATGATGGCTTGAATCAGGAAAGAAATGGAGAAAATAGAGTTTAGGAACATAAGCAAAATAATTAATATCAAGGGTTTAACCCAGCAAGTAAGTAAAGAACTGAAACAGGGAAACAGGGGATCCAATGAGGCAGTGAGAACAGAACTGTTGAGTATGTAAAAACGCTGAACAGTGCATGCCTTTAATCCCAGCACTCAGGAGGCAGAGGCAGGCAGATCTCTGTGAGTTCGAGGCCAGCCTGGGCTATAGAGTGAGTTCCAGGAAAGGTGCAAAGCTACACAAAGAAACCCTGTCTTGAAAAACCAAAATAAATAAATAAATAAATAAAAATTAAAAAAAAAAACACTGAACAAAGAGAATGAGGAGTATTTCTGAACTTAAATGTTTACTATGCTATGTTACTACTAACAATGTGGTTTTTTTCTTCGACGTCACCAAATCTTGAAATTGTAATTTTTGATAGGTGGTCTAGGATGTCTTTCCCATCTCCCACCTCCATCGTTATAATTAGGGTCGGGTTCTTTCCTACTAGCTCATACTGCAAACTGTGTTCGCGGTATCATAGCATTCATCATACTGCAGTGTGTTTACTTCTTATTTTCTGTACTAACTTTTAAGAAAATCTAGGATGTTGTCATAGTCTCTATGTTCTCTATACTCTAAATGCTTAATAGAGTACTTCAGTAAACACATGAAAGAAAGAGAATTGATGGAGGAAAGAAGAGGGGAAGGGATTGAGGGAGGAGGGAATCAACACTGGTCAAGTCCTTACTGTATCCCAGGCACTGTTTTGTTGTATGTGAGAAGGGATCTTTGCTAATGTTTAATCCTTATAGCAGCCCTGAAAGACAAGTGTCATTATGACGGCCAGTTTGTAGATGAAGAATGAAAGCTCAGAGAGACAAAGAATAAATATCCACAAACCAATAACAAGTGTGTCAATTTGACTCAAGCATAAGCTGGTAAAATAAAGCTGACTTTTGAAAACAGCTTTGCTAGAAATTAAACAGTATTTGCACACCCAGCCAAAATACTTGGATTTAATCCTAGTAAAGACTCGAACTATCCCACTCACAATCAGTATGATGTTTATAGGTGATAGGGATAAAGCATGTTCCGTCTTTAGACTTGAAAACTGTGATGAGGTTAAAGGATTTTTTTTTTTCTGAGTTCTTAAAACTATAAAGAGACTCTGACATATCCAGTAAGCTGACATGGTGTTCAGTGCTTCCTTCAACTCCAAATAAACAAAGAAAAATCAGTACCAAGAAATTCACAGACTTAATATTGGACCGTACGTTCTGCAGGAAAAGAGAAGGGTGAGAGGGTAAAAAGTCAAATCAGAGAAGTCAAAACGGTGTTTTTCTGGTTATGACATTTTTTTTTATCTCTAATTCTACTTCCTTTATTAGACAATTTCAATATATTACTCAATCTTATAGTCTCACCTTTTATGATGTATATATGATACTTTCTTTTTATTTTATTTTATTTTATTTTACAATACCATTCAGTTCTACATAACAGCCACAGATTCCCTTGTTCTCCCCCTTCCTGCCCCCCTTCCCTTCCCCCCAGCCCACCCCCTGTTCCCACCTCTTCCAGGGCAAAGCTTCCCCCAGGACTGAGATCAACCTGGTAGACTCAGTCCATGCAGGTCCAGTCCTCTCCTCCCAGACTGAGCCAAGCGACCCTGCATGATGACATTTTTTAACATGTTGAGAAACTATCACCCTTGCAGGGCCCACTGCCTGAATTCAAACTTTGTCTCCAGTGTTGATTCACTATGTGATCAACATCAAGAGCTTAATCTTCCCTTGTCTAGGATTTCTCACACACAACATGGAAATAATCGTAGTGTTTACTTTCAGTGTGTATCTTGAGAATCCTCATTATGTGAGAAGAACAAAATCTGCCCTATGTTAAACACTGAGTTTGTACCAGCTAGTTTGACTCTGTAGTTTACCCTGTGACATACAACAAAAGGCTGCTAGGGATATAACTTCATGGTAGAATGTTTGCCTAGCAAGCAGAGGACCCTGGGTACGGGGAAACTGAATTCTGTTAAAACCAGCTAATAGTATTCTACTAACAATTTTCCCTCCTTAAGACCCCACGCCCAGCATATATAACTTTTACTGAGATCAATCTGTTTGTGAAATATATGGTACCAATCTGAAAATTAGCTGCACGACACATCACTGTCCTGTCAATCAATACAACAACATCAATATAAGGTCAGGCACTAATTTATCCTCCCCCCAACCCCTGCTGTTCTACCAAAATAAATACAAAAATGTCTAAACATTTTTTATGTCTTCCCTTTGAAAATGATGAGACTTCTTTCTTCATGTGAGAGAGTACGTCTTCCATTCTACACCATCTCACCTGAGAATTTCTGAACAGTAGTGACATGGCTACCCTTCCTGAAAGTCTAGAGGAGGTACCAGAGTGATGGAGCTGACTCTTACCTGCATCACTGGCTGTCATGGTACCAGAGTGATGGGGCTGACTCTCACCCGCATCAATGGCTGTAATGGTACCAGAGTGATGGGGCTGACTCTCACCCGCATCAATGGCTGTCATGGTACCAGAGTGATGGGGCTGACTCTCACCCGCATCACTGGCTGTCATGCCACTCAGTTTAGTTTCCCTCTTCTCACCTCCTACTCATGTGTGAAGGTGCAAGTTTAAAAACAACCTATCACTGTTTGGGAGTGGGGGTTGGCCAGCTAGTGACAGTTTCTAGCATAGCAGTCGGCAAGTCCGTGGTGTGAGTCATTCCATGGACCCCCAACGTAGGGGAATGTTGGCTTCCAATAGTGAAGAGCCAAAGAGTCAGAGACTAAGGTGCATTTCCATCCCACTGCTGCCTGTTGCTAACTGCGTGCTTCAAGAACAAATTGCTTTCAGCCTTAGCATCTGCAGTGACACTAATACCTACTTAGGACTGTCGAGAGAACTATGTAAGATACTGTGTGTGATGAGCCTGGTGTGTGCCCTGTGCTGACTAAATGGTGCCATTGGCACCATTACTGTAATCTAGATTATTAACCCCCCCCCCCTGTAAAGATAAGGAATGTTCCTTCCCTCCTTTCTCTGAGTTCACCCATTGGTACTACCTAACCGTGTTCTCTACATGGCTCTCCTGCGAAGACTGACTTGTCTTTAAAGTATGAGTTTTCAATAAAATTGAATGGATCGTTTTCTTCCATATCTTGCAGGTTCTTTGTTGCAGGGAGCAGAGAAATCCATATCCCTGGTCCAGGGTGGGAGGAGTCAGCAAGCAGCAGCCTTGGCCTGGGAGAAGGGGAACTCTGGTCCAGAGGAGAAAGTCTTTTCTGAGTGGTTAGAATCAGTGAAGGAAAACCCTGTTGTGATTGATTTTGAGGTGAGACGGGAGAATGTTAGGGCTAAGAGGGGTGCAGCAATTTGTCACCAGCTCAGACTGCAAGCCACACAATTCTCTTTCCATTTCCTTTTCAGATGATAAACAAAATGCCTGTTTTTAATATACAGGCATGACGTATCTTTTTAAAAATGTTAGATTGCACATCTATTACCTTTAAATTTTAAGTGAGCATTCTAGTACCATATTTAGAATTATTGGCATGCATGAAATGCTGAGAAGAGGAATTTAGTGAATAACATTGCTCATACATGCCTGGGATTAGCACTCTTCATCTCCCTATGGAACAGTAATATTCATTTTTGTGATTTTCATGCGACTCCACTTTTTGAACACATCAAGAAAATTTTAGATCCATTTGATTTCCAGTTTCCATAGCCATAGATTTGATTTTCCAGTTTTGTATTTGTTGTAATTAGACAAAAAGGTGAGTTTTGCTGTTCATCGGGTACTTTCTATAGTATTATGTCATGTAGAGTCAGATTTGCCTATGACATAACTACATTTTAAGAGGCTTCCCAAAGCTATTATGCTTATTCATTTAAATACAGAAAGAACAGTTGAGTCATTCTAAACACGGGATCCTTTACATGAAGCAGGAAAACATGTGAGTTCCACAGATGATGGTAGGAACAAAGCCGGCACTACACTAGATGGTTGCTTCTTTCGGCACAGAGTGAGCGCACTTCTCCTTTTCCTCCTGTTACCTGTGTAATCTGTTTCTACAATCCTCCCATTCACATGAATGGCAAGTTCACCATCCATTTCCTCCCCTGGTGCATTTCCTCAACTGACTCCAACAAAAGTACATCCATAGACAGAAAGCAATGAAACCTCTCCTCATCCTCTCCAGAGCTCCCTGCCTGAATCAGTTAATGAGGTAACGACAGAGCACTAATGAGCATTAGTAATTCTTGGTGACCTGCCTCAGCACTTTAGCTACTTGTATTTGATGCTTAATAAATAACATGATACAAGCCCAAATAAGCAACATGTGACTCCCTCCCCTGTGGACATGCAGCGAATGCTTAATTCGAAGCAGTTTGCACTCGCCCCCAGGCACTGGGCTTTCCTCTTCTGGCTCAATAGCCCAAAATCTATACTAGATTCTCTAAAAATTCCTTGGAAGTGTGAGGTTTTCTGGTAAGCACTGATTCGATGAGAACTAGATTGCAGTGGTAAAAACAACGCCCACGTGGAAGTGACTAGAGCTCTCTGTCACCTGTCCTCAGCTCGCCCCAATCACCGACTTGGTCAGAAACATCCCGTGTGCGGTGACAAAACGGAACAACCTCAGGAAAGCGTTTCAAGAATATGCCGCCAAGTTTGACCCTTGCCAGTGCGCTCCGTGTCCTAATAATGGCCGTCCCATGCTCTCAGGCACGGAGTGTCTGTGTGTGTGCCAGAGTGGTACCTACGGGGAGAACTGTGAGAGGCGGTCTCCAGATTACAAGTCCGGTAAGTGCCAGGGATTGATTGTGAGGTCAGTGCCTTGCCCACTCAGAAATATATTATAGCTTGACAAATTTAAGCAAAATAAAACTCACTAGCAACCTCCACCTTATTAACAAGCCTCCAAAAATTAGATTCCGCCGGGCGGTGGTGGCGCACGCCTTTAATCCCAGCACTCGGGAGGCAGAGCCAGGCGGATCTCTGTGAGTTCGAGGCCAGCCTGGGCTACCAAGTGAGTTCCAGGAAAGGTGCAAAGCTACATAGAGAAACCCTGTCTCGAAAAACCAAAAAAAAAAAAAAAAAAAAAATCGGGTGGTGGGTGGTGGGTGTCTAGAACAGCAGCTGAGACCTTACATCTAGAACCGCAAACAGGAAGCAAAGAGAGAACACCAGAAACAGCACGCAGCTTTTGAAACTTCAAAGTCCAACTCCAGCAACACACTTTCTCCAGCAAGGACACCCCTCCTAAGCCTCCCCAAAACAGGGATAGCAGCCAGGGATCAGATATTCAAATGTCTGAAACTGTGGGGTGCATTTATTATTCAAACCACCGCATACTTATACTGGAGAATTATATTATTATGTGTGTTATAATGTATAAGCAGGATGTTCATAAAGGGATAAATTTTGCCGCAGGCAAAGATTTCATACATGGCTAAATATATTAACTCGAATTTTCTTTAGAGGAAGGGAGAAGCCTAGGAGTGGGAATATGTTCTAATACCTATCAAAGTGTAATTTGATATTTATTTCTGTCTTATTCAATGTTCTCTTGCTATGAAGATATATCATGATACCATTGCAACTCTTAGAAAGGAAGTACGTAATTGGGGCTTGCTCACAGTTTCTGATGTTTAGTCCACTAACAACATGGCAGGAAGCATGTTAGCTGGGAATCTGAAGGCAGCAGGAAAAAACAGAGGGCATGGCTTGGGCTTTAGAAACCTCGAAGCCAATCCCCCAGTGACACACTTCCTTCAACAAGGCCACACTCCTAGTCCCTCTCGGGTAGTGCCGCTCCCTGATGACCAAGCATTCAAATATGTGAGCCTGTGGAGGCCATTCTTAATCAAACCACCATAATTTTGTTCAGAAAATTTTATCATTTCTACATATATGTGTATATATGCACATACATGTGTTTGTCATGCATGTGCGTATAATATATTACTGATATGTTTATTGATGATTCAAGTGATTCATAGCTTTTGCTATTTTATTCATGCATTTGAGAACGGGAAAAGTAATCAATGTATCTCCAGACCCCTTCCGTAAATAAGTTCATTCAGTCCTCACTGTAAAGTGATAACGTCCCACAAAGCAAATGTGAAGAAACCAGGCTGTCCTAGCTTCAAAGCTCAATTTTTTTTGCAGCAGGATGGCAATGGGTCTTCCTCTGTTGCAGACGCAGTTGATGGAAACTGGAGCTGCTGGTCATCCTGGAGCACGTGCAATGCGGCTTATAGGAGATCGAGAACTCGGGAGTGTAATAACCCTGCTCCCCAGCGAGGAGGGCAGCGCTGTGAGGGCGAGCAGCGGCAAGAGGAAGACTGTACATTCTCAATAATGGAAAATGTGTAAGGTTGGGTGCAAGGGAACCAAGGATCACTGGTTGGCATTGACTACTGTATAATAATAATAATAATAATAATAATAATAATAATAATAATAATAAAAACACTTAGAATTTTAGATGTGCCTACACAATGTACTATTAAAGCACCAAATCTGCCCCTATGCTTAGTTCACTAAGCAGTGGGTTCTCTCTATTTAATCAGTATCTGTATGTTATAAATATGCAGACAGAGTGGGCATGTTGCTTTAATATATGTATGTATATATATGTGCACGCACACTTATCTATTTTTCCCTTTTAGGGGACAACCATGTATCAGTGACAATGAAGAAATGAAAGAGGTAGACCTTCCTGAGAAAGAAACAGATTCAGGGTGTCCTCAGCCAGCTCTGCCAGAAAATGGATTTATCTGGGTAAGCATCCTAACCATAACTTTTGGCTTAAAGTTCAAAAACAGAACTTGAAACATATGTGTTTTCTCTTCATTGGAATTATTTTCCTACTTTAAGAATATGTTATCTCAAAAGCATAAAGGAATATCCAGAAATTCTGGGACACACTTTCATCATGAATTCCCAGAGGTATCTTCATGCCTGCTTGTTAGTCAAGGAAGAGCCAGGTGACATTTTCCTTTGTTCCACTCGGGTCATAAGAAAGCAGTAGACTGTGTTAGTAGAGAATGGAGCTTCAGCACAGGGTAGGTTTGGATGGCTGTAACAGTCTGCAACTGAGACCTGGCTGTTTATTTCTGAGTCGGAGTGAAGTAACATGCATCATCTAAGGCAGATTCTCTGAGATATAAAGGAGACTTCGATATAACGATTTGAGGTGTTGAGTCTATATTATCTGTTTAGGTTAGAAATCTGTAAAATCCTTGAGCAATCAATACAATTGCAAGTCAGGGTTTCTCTGTTGTCCTGTTCTCTGTTCTCTGTTTCTGTGTTGTCCTGGCTGTTCTTGAACTCACTCTATAGAACAGGTTGGCCTCGAACTCATGTAGATCCACCTGCCTGTGCCTCCCAAGTTCTGGGACTAAAGGTATGTGCCACCACTGCCCAGCCTAATGTTTTTTTAATTTCATGTTTTTCATCAAACCACAATATGTTCCTATGCTTTTTATAAGAAGTGAGCACTCACTGTCACAAATGTCTGTGACTTTAGATATAAATATATATATATATATATATATATATGTGTGTGTGTGTGTGTGTGTGTATAAATATATATATAATGTTAAAATTGATCACAAAAGGCATGTTCTCTGTCAATTTTACATTTTTAAACTGAATAAAACCTTTAAATTAATCCTTTTCCAACAGTACATTTATTATGAAAACTCAGTAACACAAATCTCTAAACCCACTCTCACAGATATCCATGGCCAATAGCCCATATTGTATCTTTTAATGTACTGTACCTAAAGGTCTTAAGAGGAGGCATTTTGGAAGGAGGTAATTTCAATCAGTCTTTATTCCAGAGTAGAGAGCTCAGTCTCACCAATGCAATGGAGGGTATATTAAAACACAGATCAGCCACTTGCATTTTTACAGTTTCTGGTTCACTAGCTCTCAGGTGAAGCCCTGTCTTACTTAGGGTTTCTATTGCTGTGAAGAGACACCATGACCATGGCAGCTCTTATAAAGAAAAAACATTTAATGTTGGTCTAGCTTACCATTCAGAGGTTTAGTCCATTATTTTTGTGGCTGGAAGCATGACAGCATGTAGGAAGACATGGTACTGGAGAAGGAGCTGAGAGTTCTACAACCTGATTGGTAGGCATCAGGAAGTGAGCTGAGCCACTAGGCCTAGCTTGAGCTTCTAAGACCTCAAAGTCCACCACCCTAGTGACACACTTCCTCCAACAAAGCCACAACTATTCCAACAAGGCCACACCTCCTAAAAATGTCACTCCCTGTGAGCCTATGGGGGCCATTTTCTTTCAAACCACCACAGGCCCCCAAAAAGCCAATATCCACAAACTCCCATCCAGTACTAATGCTTCTAGGCTGGGAGTCATAGAGTGGAGCCAAATTCTTCAGAACAGGTGTCAGCAAACTACAGCCTAGAGGCTCGATCTAGTTTGTTACTTTAAAAATCTAAATTTTACAACACAGCCATATTCATTTATTTACATATTACCTTTGGCTGCTTCCCAGCAGTACTAGAAAATATGAATAATTATGACAGATGCTCTATGACCAACAACTGACTGATACAGGCCCTTTATAGAAAAACATTTTCTGGTGCCTGCTTTAGAACAGAGATGTCAAAATTATGTATTATCAGATCTAGCTGCCTAAATAATGTTTAACATATTCATACCAGCTGCATGTAAGAACTATTAAAAACTCCTTATTATTTGATTTAAAAAACCCATTGAGGCTTTAAAGATGAATTCATTATGCTTATGGATCCTCTTATAAAAATGAGATTATCTCTCTTACTCTATTCCCTGATGCTGTAACCAAGTCCCACAGACCTGAACAATATATGTATTAGAAAAAGAGTTTTTTAAACCTGGTGTGGTGAAGCACTTCTTTAATCCCACCACTCAGGAGGCAGAGGCAAGTGGATCTATGTAAGTTCAAGGCCAGCTTGGTGTACATAGTGAATTACAGGCCAGCCAAGGCTTACTAATACAATATTGTCTCAAAAGCAAACAAGCAAAACCAAGCAAACAACCAGAAGAATTATTTAGCAGAGTTGTGGAGTTTGGAGAATAAGCTCAATGATGACAATATGTTTTTATAAGTTATTGCTTCATTGGAGAAATGAAGACAGACGTTCAAAGCAGTAACTTGTTTCAGGAGAAATGCATGAATGAAAAGTATACAGCAGTCAGCTAGTGAGAGGGCTCATCAGGTAAAGGTGCTTACTATACAAGCCCTGGCCAAGTACAATCCATGAAACCCATGGTAGAAGAATGGAACCAACTCCCAAACGTGGTTCTTTGACTTCTACACAGGAACTCTGGCATGCTTACACATACACACATCATATTGCATCACAACACACACACACCAGTAATAAGTAAAATAATTTTTAAAGTGTGCAGTTAATTAAAAAAAAGATCCAAGTCATCAATATTTCTTAACAGTTCACTTCCCTTGGAAATAAAGACACATCAATAATAACCAACAGGATAGTCTTTTTGTATCCAAGACATTAAGACTCTTCTAGGATGTAACATGAACAAGTCATGATAAAGGCTGGTTGCTCAGTTTTTCACCGTCAGATTGCCAAGTTTGGTTCTGAGAAGAACTTTCTAATAAAAACTTAGTATTCTTCTCCCTCCTGGTAAAGGAATAGGGGGCTCCTTTACCAGCTCTCCTAGGTAGGATGATGCTTTTCACAATTTCAAAGAGTTACTGAGGGTTCTCTAAGTGTGTGTGTGTGAGAAAGAGAGAGAGAGGGGGAAAGAGAGAGAGAGAGAGAGAGAGAGAGAGAGAGAGAGAGAGAGAGAGAGAGTTGTGAAGTTGCCACTTGTTTCAGCATCAAAGCAGCTAAATGTGATAAAAGCTAGATAAAGCATTGTTCAAGATGCTTCAGAGAGGAAAGTTCAGTGCACCTTAGGAAGCGGGAGTTTGCCAAAAGGGTGTTCCGCATGAGCTGGGTCTTGAGAGAAAGGCAGGAAGAAGGTGGCCAGGGCAGATGGACTAGCCAGTGGAAGATGGCATGAGGGCATGGACAACAAAAGAGACTACTAGGATTGTGGGGCGTTTACCCACCACCCCCACAGCTTCCCAGAGTTTTCTTGAGTGCGAACAGCAGGAAATATTAGATAGAAGGATTTATAGCGGAGAATGTTGCGGAGATAAACAGATAGAAAATAAAGGATAGCCTCGAGAGGGCCTGGAACCTATTCCAACGGGCCCGGACTGTCTCTGGTCCAGGGTTTTTATAGAG